AGCAGGTTTCAAGTTTGAATATGAAATTAAAGATACAAATTCCAACAAATTATGCCAACTTTTTCTGCTATATGTTGATGCAATAGATACTATAATCCCTCCATCTGGAGATAGTATATCATTAATTGATCACAAGAAAAGTCTCTTCACAAATGCACTGGAGAGATTCCGATCATTTTCAAATTCTGGAATAACTATAAGTCATGATGATCTGGACAAATCAACCTTCAGAAATTTCAAAAAAATGATACGTAACTTAGTTTGGAATTATCTAGATTATTGGCTTGAGAGACCAGAACAATCTGAAATACAGCAAATTCATTTGAAACAACTTGAAAAGAACAAACTTGGCTTCAAACAGTTCTTCAATACCATTGTTCACTTCTCTATTGAAAATTTGAACTTGAAATTAAAATATGGTCCAGAGTATGTGAAATACAAACCAACTTCCACTTTCCCATCCATCCATGAGCAATAAACAAGATATGAATATCTTCACCCAAAACTTTATACATGATCATCAAATTATTGCTTATTCATCAAGATGATTGAGGGGGGGTTAGCAATTGCCATTTATATAACTTGAGGGACTATTTTAAGGCTTTTGTCAACAACGTTTTATAAATTTGAAGACCTGGGCACATTTTGGGCATCTGACCCATTTGTGAAGGCTGTCAATGTTTGAAGAAGTTGATGATAAACACCATGACATGGACCTCAAAGGTTGTAAATTTCAATTCTAAATCCCCCCTGATACCAAAGATTTTATGTTTCATTCTAGCTACAGTTGGTGTTTATTTGTCTGGATTTATCACCACACCCACAGCCCTTCCAGAAATTTGCTAGGTTTCATCTCTAGTTGATTCCATATCTGTTTCTCAGTTTCCTGGTCATCTGAGAAGGTTGCTCTTCTTATTTTATCCCTACAAAATCCATCCCTTGCATGATTGAGATTCATTGGAGGATAAATTTCCACTGGCAAAACAGCTTTACAGGGGGCTGTCAAATTGAAGGGAAGTCCTTGTTTTGGATCACTCAATCCACAGTAAGGGGGTTCACTTTTTGCTGATCTCCAAATCCACAGTTGAGCTTTGTGAGAATGGCTATTTTAAGGTTTCTGAAAGTAAAAGAGTTTAGTGGGAGGCTCCCCCTTGGAGTCAAAATCCCACAGTTAAAGTGTTTGTGCATAAGTAAACAAACCTTGTTCAAGACCAGCAAAGGATTCCAGTTCATGTCTGAAACTTAACTCAACTCATTAATCATCAGCCCTCTTCACAAAAGCGGGTGATGCTTTCTGATGTGGGTGTAAGATGTCATTTACAGACACTTAAATTGGTCATGTCACACCAACTCTAACTCATAGGTTTGCTGACTGTTTATGTAGAAAATTGTACTGCTACAGTGACGCAACCCATCCTACTGTACATGGATTTTGGGGTTCCAAAATGTTTGGAGGAAAAAAATCAAGAAAATCTGCCCTGGGAAGGGCAGGATCCGGGGAAAATTGAGGTTTTGGGGCTTGGAAATTTCAGAATTTGTGCAACTTTTGCCACTTATTTGGAAAAAATTACATCCCTGAGTCAAATTATCATGTTTGGCAGCAACAAAAATGTAATCTAGGTTAAAATTTGTGCACATAGCTTTGGTGGGAGAAACCATACTTATGTGTTATCAGAGTTAAGTACATGAATATGAGACTTTAGGGCATTTAAGCCCATGGATTCTGAAATGTTGACCCCAAATAAAAAAAACTTTTTTGTTGGAGCAGTGGGGGCTTAGCCCTTTTAACTGGAGGACTTCCCGTCACAATTTAGAACACTTTTTAGACCTCTCTCAGTCTTAAATTACGAAAGAAATTAAGATTCCAACCAGCTCATGTGAGAGCTATTGCCAGGAGGCTAGGGTTGACGGTGCGCTACCTGAGGCACGCCGATGTGCGGGCGCCGCGCACGCGCGCCCTCGGCGCGCATGAAATCTGGAAAAAGGGGGGGTGGCGCGCACTTCTAACCCTAACTTTTTCGGGGGGAGTCATCCATCAACTACCCATAAAAGCTGTATTTTTTTGGGTTTCTTGGTGGTTGAACTTACTTTTTGGCCCCCGAGAACCCCGGTCGACCCCCGAATAGTGTGAAGTGCCGCATGGCACCCACTGATTGTGGCTACCCAATAAAGCAAAGTCAGACTTTGCTGTGGTAAAAAATTTAGGTTGAAAAAAAAATATAATTAAAAAATTAAAAAACATAGAAAATAGACGATATGTACATGTTTTTTACTGCGGAAAATGGCGCCCCTGGCGCGCCTCCAATGTGCCTGCCAAAGGCGCGCATTGCTGGCAGTTTTGGAGGCGCCCTCCGGCGCGCACTTTTCCAAAAGTGGCGCTGTCAACCCTACAGGAGGCTTCAGAAAAACGATTTTTTTGATAAAAAAATTTGGATCTAGGGGGTGTAAAACAACTTCTGGGAGGGCCGTAGATTGTGACGGGAAGTCCTCCACCATGGAAGCTACTGCCCTCAAAAAGCCCAAATCTACAATAAAAATGGGTGATGGACCCCAAGTGCCTACAAACATTAGGCTGAAAGGCCAAAAAACTTTTTGCTGGTGATGGTGTACAGTAACATGGGTTGCACCACTGTAGCAAACTTATCAAAGTCCCTCGCTTCGGAGGGCCTGGTGGCCTTGGCTGGCGTGGAACGCCACTCGCACGAAGCGCGAGCCTCCAAAGGAGGGACTTAAGACAAACACAAACAGGCCCGCGTGTCACGGTTGGGCACTTTTGGTGTAACGCACATTGAGCTGGATGTACAGCATTTACATCACCAGCTATTGGCGATTTGAGTAGACAAGCTTTTGGTGCTTGGTGATGCCTCTCACCTCATCCAATTTTCAGAACTTCATCTTGAAAATTGGATGAGGTGGATCTTCTTTAAGTTGGTCAAATTGAGAAAATGTTCTCACATGGTAGGCAGTGAGATTGAAACTGGCTTATGTAAGCTCAGCCAATTTGCCATTGGGCAAATTTTCCTTTAAAATTTTTCAACTGTGTAGTTTTCATTTTTTCCCAAAAGTTTCTTGATAGAAGTCAAGACCTCCATGTTGGGCATCTTCACTCCATCTCAGCTTTCAAGAAATCCAAAAGCTGGATTTTCTATGATTTTTGGTGCAAAAAACAGCCAAAAAACTCAACTGTGACACCCAGTCATGTTCGTTTTGGGCTCAACTCAAGCCTCTCCCGCACTTCGTGCGTTCGACGGAGAGGCTGTACAAGCTCGCCACTCTAGCAGCCCATGCAGCCCCTCTGTGCCACTCTGAGCTTTTTCACCAATCATAAAAAATTTATGATAAACACCATAAAAGTACCACTGAAACTCAAATGGAAAGTGCTGATGTTTTATTTGATGATCATTATCCAAGCTTACCTTTGAACTAACTTATCACTTGGTCCTTGGTACCTGACATAGCAATCAAGTCATTGGTATCAGAATGATCACACATGAAGAAGAAAATTATCAGAAGTGGCCACAGTGGCAACTCAAGACAACATGAAAGAAGGTACTAAAATCATTTGGATTGACAAGACAATTGCATGGGTGGACTATCCGCCCGGGGGTCTTCCCTGGTCTGCAAGTTTGTCACACCACACAAAGGCTTAGGTGACGCGAAGAACTCATCCCATCAGATACATCTCAAATTGATATAGTTTGTGGGCTCAGAGTCTCGGGGTGGGGTCAAGTGAGGCAATGGCTGGCCGGAGAGTAAAACAACTAGGATTGCATGGGCATAAAGGGGCGAAAGCAAGGGACGAGTAGAGGGAGCAGCTGTATCGGAGATGAGAAAGACCAAAGTGAATCTTGTTTCTTTGGGAGGGCACGCGACGGGAAGTAGAGTTTGGGAAGGTTGATAGTCATGATCATTAACGGGATTGGTAAGAACCATCAATCTATTGCTTTTCTTCAGTCTGGTGTTCTACGGCTACAATTGCTGCTCGTTTCTCCTCGACTCGGATCGCTCTACGTTCACGAGCGGCCTTGTTCTTCACTCGTCGGGCCTCCATCTGCTCAGCCAAATCCTTCTCTCTTGTCTTCTCGGCCTTAGCCTGATGATTTGTGGTAAGTTGGTAAAGAAGAGATGTTAGTGTCGGGGGCATCCTGGCTGAAGTGCTCAGAAGAAAGTAATTACCTTGTGGATGTAGTCCATCAAGACTCGCTTGTTTTTGAAAACGTTACCTTTGGCTTTCATGTACAAGGCATGGTACCTAAGGCGATCGGGCAAGATATCAGACCGCCGAGCGAGAGGGATAGATGATTTGTGCCAGGAACCCCAGACTCACAGATGCCTGTCGATCTTGCCGGCCTCACGGTACTTCCTCAGCAATCGACGCAAGACACGTTGTCGTCGCATCCAGAGAACCTTGGTGGGCATACGGGCTTCGGCCGTACCTTTTCTTTTACCGGGACCGGTGTGACGTCCCTTGGCCTTAGCGGCATGCATGGCACGTGTGCGTGCACGGGAATGAATGGTGATCGATCGCTTGAGGATGAATCCATCCTTGTAGAGTTTGCGGATCGTCTGACGTGAGTTGGCGTTACCGATCTCAGCCAGTTGGGTGGGATCGAATTGAATCTGATTGTTGAGGAGAAGTCAAGGGGAGGGGCAGAATGAGGAACGATTCAATCGAGTGAGATTAGCTTGAAGTCCTTTCCGAGCAATAGAATGGAGGGAATGATGGCCAATCGGGACAGAGTAGAGACCTTGTTCTTCCCCACACCCAAGACTGAGGCGGCGAGCCGCTTTTGAGAACGCAAGTTGGACGACATCGGATCGGGTGGTGGGCTGGCTCGGATGACAGGTCAGTTAACAATGGCTAGCTCGCCGCTGGGGATGGTGGAGGGTGTTAGCTTACGGGTAGTTGATCACAAGTCCCTTCGCAGTATTCGGATGGCCAAGACCTCGGCTGTGGCAGGCTGGGCGGCAGGGGTGGTAGGCTGGCCTCGGTTAGGTTTCAATCAGTGAGACCCCTTCAGGGTACCGGTGGCGATACTCTAAGCCCCCCGCCCGGATCGAAGACCTAACTAGGGCTAGGGCCGGTTCGCCCACCAGCAGGCTGTTTGCCCCACCCCGGCACCCCGTGCGCACCCCTCCACCTCCCAAGGACAAACCACCACCAAGGACGACTTGCGGCCATCCAGCCCCGACTTCCGATCAAGACAGCCATCCATCATGGTGAGCCCCGCCATCCACTTCGTTCAGCCTAAGGATTAGTTAATCGATTCCGAGCTCATCGAGGAAACCTACGTCAAGAAGTCAAGTGATGGAAATCAAGTTAACCTCTTTGCTCCACTGTTTTGATTGACAGTCTCTCGTCGTACCCGAAGCCCACCAGCAATTCCAGCACATTCTTCGTCTCCTCAACACCAACGTTGATGGCCGAGTAAGCCCTCAGTTCTCTCTCATGCCGCCCCATCGATCGCAGGTTTTCATGTGCCATATTTGCTCGTCAAAACCAGATCAAAATCATGTTCGCCCTCACCCAAATTCGTGGTGTTGGTCGGCGGTTGGCAAACGTCGCCTGCAAGAAGGCTGATGTCGATTTGAACAAGCGGTAGGTCTGCTGAATCGTCTTCGAGACCAAGGAAAAATGATTGTCCAAACTAACCCAGCTGACGCTCCCAGGGCTGGAGAGTTGAACCCCGATGAACTTGAACGAATCGTCACGATCATCCAAAACCCCGCCCAATTCAAAATCCCCGCCTGGTTCCTCAACAGACAACGGGACATCGTCGACGGTAAATCTTACCAAGTCCTTTCCAACGGATTGGACAGCAAGCTCCGTGAAGACTTGGAGCGACTGAAAAAGATCCGGGCTCACCGTGGTTTGAGACATTACTGGGGTTTGAGGGTCAGGGGTCAACACACCAAAACCACCGGACGACGTGGAAAGACCGTTGGTGGTACGTCTTTCTCATTTCTCCCGCATCCTATTTATCAACACACTCTGACCATCGCACTTGCCCGTTATCAGTCTCCAAGAAGAAGTGATCGACTCATCGCGTATGACTTGCGTTGCACTACTCGTGTCCTTGTACCGGGCCACCCACCAGGATGCAAAGTATTCACTGCAATTTCATTCTTGTGCCCACTCTCACATCAACTGTTAGTTACATGTGGGTTAAGACCCAACAGGCCACTCCCTCCAACCTTATGCCATGCAAAACTGTTATTTTTACGTGCCCATTCATTACCTGAGATTTTTCCTTTACCGGACCAGCTCTGGGTCTTTGCAAATTCCTACCCCCAAAGCAGGGCGGGCGTCCTTGGGAGGTACCGTGTCCCTTCTCGTGGCCGCCCTTGTCACACACTGACCAGCCGGCATTAGGTACCTGAAAGCAACAAGGAATTCCTATTGGCCGCTTGAAACTACTTACATACTGTTAATTCATTGCAAGGCAGCTCCACATGGCACTTCTATTCTGACTTCTCATCATCATCTCCTTGGGCTGAGCTAGGATAGGTTAGCAGTTTTTAACATCAATTGTTAAAACAAAATAAACAATGGGATACATAGACAGGGTTCTACTACTACCAAAGAATCACAGGTTTATCTAACTGGTGTGTGTAGATATATGAAACATTTTTGTGGACTAGCAGACTAAGAACCAGTTACCAGATTGCTGGGGTCAGATGGGGTTGCAATTGTGGGATGTATGTAGCATATGTAGATGGTTTCTGGCCATTGAGTTATTAACAGGACAGTATCACACATGGTTGGACAGGTTGGGCCTAGATTATTGAAGGGATTCCCAATACCTCATTTCCCCCTACCACACCCTCTCGTGTTGACCCTTAATTGACATAGCAGTTTGTGTCAGCTAACAACTGTGATTCAAACCCAGAACCTGGGAGTTTTTTAACCAAGCACCAACCAATACTGGGACAGAGTAGTGTGACTTTTGCTTTGTTATGTGTGATCACTGATCAAAGCATTACATGTTTACATGTAAAACTGAGACTATGGAAGAAGTAAAAGAAATTCCCTGCAGTGGGAAGACAAGTGTTGTCCAATATTAATGAATTCCTGATTCCCCTGATTCAGCTGGTTCTGCTGGTTTGGGCTTTTGTATCAAACGGTCAGGGGGCAATTCACCATTATGTAGGCCCTTACACAAGCCATTGGGCACCCAAGCTATTGCTTCACGTAGATTGCAGAAGTATATCCTGATAGGGACTTGGCTATCACACTCATTTGGAGGTGTATATAGCTCTCCACAAGGCTTTATCATCTCCTGCCCATACCACTTGAGGTTCCAGACTCGACTATTTGGTTCACCTTTCACACAGATTGGACACACCTTGGTGCATCCCCTTGGGGCATGGACATCCACTATCATCAAAAGGAAGAGATTGATCATGAGCCCCAGATGGACAAATCCAAGTAGGCCTAGCATTGTTGGCTTGACTTGTGAGTGCAGTTGACCAAAGTGTGGTTTGAGCTCTGTACTTGCTGGAGTTTAGAGGATTTGAAACACAGTGGGCTCTTGAAGCACATTGAGATTTCTGCTATGCCAGCAAGGTGTGGGGAGCCAGGTCAATGAGGTAGAATTTTATGGAGCCTTGATCAGGGATACCTCTGTTTCAAACATACAACTTATACGTCTAAGAGAAGAAAGCAAGACAGCAGTCTTTATCATAAGCCAAAATCAAAAACTGCTTGACTCAAGATCAATCTGCTTATTTTAATAAACATACATGCAGTCAGCACATTAGCTTCACTTTGCACGCATGAATTGGCCTGTGAATCTGAATCATGAATTTGTTAGATTGATTTCCAGAGCATATTGGTGCTACAGCTGTCAATAGAGATGCTCTGGAGGGTCCAAAATAATTCTTTGGTAAAATTATGAGTTGCTGTTTAATGTTGTGTCATAATCAATTGTTGTAAATATTAATTAGAAATATGGTGTTCAAAATTGAATAGCCAACTTGTCACTTAGTACTACATAATGAAATACTCTGCAAAGCTTGCTGGGACCTGTCAATTTCAGTTTCACATATGCTGACAGGTCCCAAATTGTGCTTTATATTCCTTTATATTTTGAGGGTTGGAAAAACAACTCCCAAGCATTCTTTGACAACTCCCAAATAAGGCTGACAGATGTTGCTTAGGAGTTGTTCCTTCAAATGGATGGCCAACTTTGGGAGTTGGTCATCCATTTTGTTGAAAGTTTAGGATTAAGTGCATAAGAGGTTGAGGGCCAAAAAAGGAGAGTCTTATATTTGGGAAGGGCTCACGGAAAAAGAGTGTAAAGAACCAATGATTTTATTCACAAGTAACCAGCCTGAATCAAATAGACTAAGTACAAGTGTTCAAATTATGGTAAAGAAAAATGAAAAACACAACCATATTGAATAAAGAGATGAGAGGAAGAAACATGAGTATTTGGGAGAAACAAACCGGACAAGGCTTCTCATTCTCTTTTAGACAAGCCGGATGAGTTAATCAAAAGAAAACATGTTATAAACCACAAATAATTAGAGTCATTAATTCTAAGTACTCAGTCTTTAATAGATCAAACAGTAAATCAGGAAAATAAGAATTCATTGTACCCCTCAGAGACGGGCAGGTGCAATCACACACCTCTTTTGGAGGGGCGGGGGCGTGGGCGGGCGGGGAGTGGGGGGGGGGAGTGTGATTATCAACGCACCATGTTTGTACATTATTTTTCAAGTTTTTTTGTAACTTCAACTTTGTTTCCTACATTTTAGAATTTACTGGTGAATTCCAATTTTTATAAAAATGTATGGTTCATTTTTAATAATCGATTAGACCCATTTTTTCACTTAAATCTTTACAGCTTAATTTTCAATTTTTTTTGACATTTTAAATTTATTGCCCACACTTTGAGACATGGTTAAAATGATGGTAAAAATCATTTTACATAAAAACCAAAAAAATTTATTGAATAAAGTGTTGGACAGGGGGTTTTTTAATGTTTTTTTAATTGATTTTTACTGGCTCAATTTTGATCATTTTTTGAAATATTAAATTTATTTCCTACATTTGAAAATGTTTAGAATTCAATGGTGAAGTCCAATTTCCCTAAAACTCAAAGCTTCAATCTTAATATGTGAGCGTACACCGTTTCTTGCATAATTTGTACAGTATACAAATTGTATTTTAATGCAAAATGGATACAGCCATCAGTTTTAAAACCTTCTAAAATGTAGGAAATGAACTTAAAATTCCAACAAATAAGGATAATTAAGGGCCTTAATAAAAAAACCTGCATTTTCCGTGTTTTGACACGCTTTTGCTGCAGCACAGCACACGTGCAATCCGTGTTCAAACCCGCTTTTTTAATTAATTTTATTTTTTTTTGATTTTTTAAAATTGTTTCCTACACTAAAAAAGGTGTAGAATTTAATGGTAAAGTCCATTTTGCCTAAAAATAAGGGCCTTAATAAAAAAACCCGCATTTTCCGCGTTTTGACGCGGTTTCTGCTGCACGCAGCACACGCGCATTCCGCGTTTAAACCCGCTTTTTTAATTAATTTTTTTTTGCTGTTAATTTTAATTTTTTTTAATTTTTTAAGGGCATTAATAAAAAAACACGGTTTTTCCACGTTTACACGCGGTTTTGCTGCGGCACAGCGCACGTGGTTTCCGCGTTTACACACGGTTTTGTATTTAATTTTTTACCACTTATTTCTTGAGTTTTTTTGAATTTTTAAAATTGTTTCCTAGGTTTCCAAGCACGTAGAATTTAATGGTAAAAACCATTTTCCATAAAAACGAATTTTGATTATTAATTATTTTTTTTTCACTCATTTCTCAATTAATTGTTTGCATACATTAGAGATCGTTTGTTCATACTCGGGTACCTGTTGGTACCTAGGTACCTGTTGATTTTTTTCAGAAAATAGGTACCATGTACCGCACCTGGCACCTCCCCGCGGTACTTTTGGCAGGTACCGCAGGTACCTCCTCCCTCTTTCTGACCTAGTTTCACTCCCAGAGTGCCAAGTCACCTTTTTTTATTTTATTTTATTTATATTTATTGTAAAATATCACCCACAATTCACTTTTTTTCCATTCTTTCATATTGATTGTAAAATATTGACAACTAATTAGGAGAATCATACTTTGTTATTATCAAATTTTCATATTTATTGTAAAATATCATTCCCAAGTCACTTTTTTTTCCTTTTTTTCATTATCTATCACCCAAGTCAGTGACTTGGGTTAACTTCTTTGGCATTTTTCCATATCTGTTGTAAAATATCTACATCTAATTGAAAGTCAAAGAATCTTACTTTTCTTTTTTCATATTTATTGATTTAATAATCTATTGTAAACTATCTACAACTAATAATTAATTGGACAAGTCATCATTGTCATCCAAAACTATCACCTTCCTTTTGGATTTCTGCCTAGACTTTGTGTCATTGTTGAGTCCCTGTTTCCATGCAGCCAAGGTACCTTCTTTGATTTTGGAGTTCTTGGAGTAGAAGGCCACCGTCATACCCCTACTTATTGAACAAGAATCGAGTTGGTGCCTTTTTGCCAAAACATAATCCCGGCCAAAGCTGAACGCTCACTCAACATCCACGGATGTTGCTAAAAAAATTCAAATAGAATATGATAGAGATGTTAGACATAGTCAAATTCAATCATTATCACAGGATGAGTTTAATAATTTATAATTAACAGCTTAACTTACCTGGGCAGCCTAAAACGTCTAGCGCCATATGCACAAGGCCTCCGTGTGAGTTACCAGAACGCTTCTGTTCCATCCACCACTTCAGTGGATTCACTGGGTCATTACCATTCAGGACAAGTCCACCGGCGAGCCACATGTCGAATGCATCGGATGAGTTTTCTCCCCCGCGGGCGGCAGCTGCTCTTCCAAGGCTGGCAAGCGTAAGAGTTATGGGCTACAGAAAGGCAAGAGAGCATTAGATCAGGGGATTATACAGAGGTTGAGATGGGAGGGAAGGTGTTAAGAACTTACCTTTGAGCTAGTAGTTGGAGAAGAGGAGGCAGGAGTGATTGGCCGGGGCTTGTAATTTGATACCCACATTTCACGAGCTAGGCGTATTGCTTCGGCTATCCATTCGGGTTCCCATTTTGCTAGCTTGAAGTACTCGTCTTTGAACAATGGGTGCAACACTGAAACACACCATTTATGTAAGCAATAATAAACCCAAAAATTAACAAAAATTACTTACAAATTGCTATCCTGTAAAGTGGTGAGGTGTCAGTTAAGCTGTAGTATTTATTTGTTATCTTTAATCCTACTCGGCAGGCATTCCTCAATGCAGGTGGGTAATTTGAATCACTGATGATTGTCGAGAGGTGATCAGTGATTTGGTCGATAAATATTACTATGTTTGACAATCGAGCTGAGCCTGCTTTGGATATCTGAAGTGTGATCTTGTGAAACAGGTTGAGGACCTTGGCTAGATCGCGAGCTAAGTCCAGGTCTGACTGATCCAAATAATGCACACGGTCGATCCCATACGTTTTGTGGCGCTGCCACTCAAGACTTCATGAATATAGCACATTGAGTCAGTTCAACAGTATATCACAACCAACTGTAAAGATACTGATAAAGACTTACATAGCTGCTTGACATCTGATGATGCTGTTGATTTGGATACTTGTAGAGTTCCATCGAGTTCGTCCATCTCGTTCGATGTTGTGTGGTTTTTCACACCTCTTCTGTTGACAGATCTTGTGGAATTCAGCCTTGGAAGCTGGAGAGAACCTCAACTTCTTTGCAATTGCGCAGAACTGTACCCAAATAAAATGTTTCAGCTAAAAAGGAATGAATGCAAATTAACATGAAGTTGATTGTATTGACTTACCTTCGCCAAAGTCTGTTTACAAGAAATGGATGTGTAGCAATCCTCCTCCTCCTCTTCGCTAGCATTGTCAATATTGGCCTCATCAAGTGACTCATCGTCATCCACATCTGCTCCGTACACTGATTCCTCATCACTTAAATTATCACCTGCTGAGGTGGCGGAATTATCCTGGCGGCCACGAGGAAGCCTGGGATGAAAGGATGAATCCTAATCAGCATCTCATCTTCTCTATGATAATTCATGATATGAAAGACTTTCATTAAAGCTTACACTCTGATTTGATCTTCAGGATCTTCTTGTTCAGAAATTGACCCATCTGAATCATCGCCAGCACCCATCGGTCCTCGATCTTTTGCATCCTTCTTGTGACTCCCAAACGGCCGAAGAATCCCCTGGACAATTAAGTTGAGGATGTGCGCGAAACATCGGATCCATTGAGCGTCCCCATGGAATCGAGGCCACTTGAGCTTCTTGAGATCCCGTACCATCACTTCGTTATTCTTTGCATTGTCGCTCACGATGCCGCATATCTTAACAAAGGATGCGGGATTGGTGTTATCATTAATACTTGTTAATGTCCAAAGAATCCAATAAAATAAAACTCACTTTGTCTTGAATTCCAAATTTCTCAGCAACTAGGCGGACAGTGTTGGCCAAGTACTCACCTGTGTGCCTTTTTGACAGGCAAACAAAGTCTAGAGGCATGGCCTCAAAAGTCGCGTTACCTGATTGATTATCTACTAATCGATATCCGACTACACCCAATATGTCGAATCCATTTGGGGACTGCCATGTGTCCACTCCTATATATAATGCACCATTATGTGCCTAAGAAAAAAAAAGAGAGAAGAAAGGTGGAATCAGCAAATGATAAAAAAGTGCAAATAAAGAAAGTACTTGCCTTCAAAGTCGCTCGGTATTCATCTTGTATAGCTGAATAAAGAAGGTGGATGTCTTTTGAGACCCTGTTTGGATTCGTCAGGTGCTTGACAACTGTTCACATCATCTCTGACATGATTTCCCATCTGGGAAATCTTGTAAATTTTAGGGAAATGCTGTAAAAAAATTAAAGATTTTTCCAGATTTTTTAGATTTTTTAGATTTTTCCAGATTTTTTTATTAAGAGACACCAATAAAGTTGAAAGAACCTGAAAAAATCTAATTTTTTTTAAAAAAACTGGAAAAATTAGAAAAATCTGGAAAAATTGGAAAAATCTGAAAAATCTGGAAAAACACAAAAATCTGGAAAAATCTAAAAAATTTGGAAAAATCTGAAATATCTAGAAAAATCTAAAAAATCTGAAAAAATCTAAAAAATCTAAAAATTTACAAAAATCTAAAAATTTAGAAAAATCTAAAAAATGTAGAAAAATCTAAAACATGTAGAAAAATCTAAAAATCTGAAAAAATCTAAAACATCTGGAAAAATCTAAAAAATCTGGAAAAATCTTCAATTTTTTTACAGGATTTCCCTAAATTTTACAGAAATCATGTCAGGGATGATGTGGTTGGGTGAAGGATGGCCTTGTGGCTGGCATCAATGAGTGACGAAAACGGCCTGGCAGCTTCGGCACACCATACTGCGCATAGTTGGGGAACCTGGATTATGTATGTAATGTTCAGTATGCTTGCAACAGACACAGAGATAAACACTTGAAACATAACTTCATATCCCGCACTGGATGTGCAGTAAAATAAACCTGGATATGTAGTATTTTTATATTTTTTTTGTTCACCTCTTCACACCATTTTTTTTTTTGAAAAAAAAACACTGAATATCCAGTTTTTTTACTCCATATCCAGCACTGGATATGAGGTAGTGTTGAAAGTGAAAAGTTGAAACAAGGACTTACCTCTTTGGGATTGATATCACCGGTTCCGGTTATTCCTAGATTAGCCAACGATCACGTATTTTGGGATTCATTTTGTTTGCGGAGGCAGAGAGAAGCGTGTTTGTTGAGATTGCTGCAAGATGAATCAGAGGTCGGACGATTGATCCGGGTGCCACATCTGAGCATACATGAATCAGAAGGAGATCAGCAAAAAAAATGATGATTGATGGATGCTTTCAAAGGAAATATAATGAATTAATGAGATATTTAAAAGAAAATAGCTTACAGTATGCAGGGATAAGCTATCATACAGCGGCCATTCTTGTCCCTCTGATCTGAAAGCTCAGGCTCCCTGTATGACCTATAAGTGGAGCTGACAGCATTTTGTGCTATCCTCTTGGCTCTCACTTTATGAAAAAGTAAAAAAAAAAATATAACATAAATTATTCATTAGATACATACATTACTCATTAGATAAGGCTGAGGCTGAATGAAAGAAAGGAGAGGCAGAAGAGCAATATCTCACACAGCTCCTCCTGGTCAGTTGGGTTAGGGTCACTTGCAGATGGGGGCTGGGTGCATGCCGGGGTGCTTGATGACTCCTGGCTCCCACCCTCTTCTTGGGGATTGTACGACGGTGATGACGCGCGCAATGCGATCGACTTTGCTTGGTTGCGGCCGCAAGGCATATCCTATCGACGTAGCTCTCGATCACAATAACGAGTGCGATCCTTTTTAGTAAAGACACCACGCAATCTTGTTTGCTCTGTCAAGAAAGGGCAAACAAGAATCAGCTCTAGATCTAAAAAAAAAGAACAACAAATAAAGAAACATGGCAGCGGAATAAAAAAAAGGGGGGGTTCGCTTACCCTTCGTTGGTCTCAAGACCTCCGGTCTTGTAGGTCATTTGATGGGCGAGGGGGAGTTTGTTGATGTTGTCCGATGGGGGGGAGTTTGTTGTAGGTGGTTTGATAGGTGAGGCTCAGGTGAGGGTTGTCGGTCCGGTGATTGATTGATGAAGGTACCCGCGGTATGAAGTAGAGGTGCGGGTTGGTCTCGGCCATGGGGAGAAGTAAAACCCCTGCGACCCCCATGCATGCAGCCCCCCCCCCCTAAGGGGATATTAGGCGGTACCCGGGTACCGCCTGTTTTTTTACCCAAAAATAGACACCCGGCACCGCCTGGCGGGTGCGGGGCGGGTGCGGGCGGTGCTAGGTACCTAGCAACGGGTACCGACAAACGATCTCTAGTTGAGGGTTAGTGACCCGTGAATCCGGTGTGGTCTCACTTGTTCCTTTTTCTCTATCTCAGTAACGTAATATACGGTCCACCAGGTTCGGGTGGAAAAATGGCCATCCGCAGCCAAATATGCACCCGCTGGCGGGTATCGGCCAGCAGATAACGGATATCCGCGGCGGATTATCCGGATTCCGCAACCATCTCTATATCTGACTGTCTACATTTTGTTAGCGCAAGAAAGTTACACTAACTGTTAGTTTAGCTGAGATTATTTGAAGCTAACACTACCAAAAAATTTGAGAGAAACATTTCCACTACACTAACAGTTAGCGTAGTGGGGTTTAGTGTCAGCTAACACTGCAGAATTTCCAGGACATAAAAAGGCCACTACACTAGCAGTTAGTGGTCAAATAGCATAGTGTAGTGTAGTGGCCCACTGTTGCTTGGTACCAACGGTGGGCCAGCTATGCGGACCGTAGCATTAGCATAGCAATTTTTTGCTACAATTTAGCGTAGCGTTAGCGCTTTTTTCATTTTTTTGCGCTAACGCTACGCACATGGGGAAAAAACTTGCGCTAACGCTGTAGTATGCCAATTGTGTTTCAAGTATCAAATTGCATAAAGTCACAGTTCAATATGTAGAAGGGCATATATTCTTAGGCATATTATGGCATAATCACATTCTACAGGTCATTTGACCCATAGTCACTCATGGGAACCACTAGGCTAGCTCCACTCAGTCAAAAGTTATTTGGGATTTAAATTTTATTTGCATAAAAAATGATTAATGCATAATGGAAACCACAAGTTGGCCTTATTTTGTTGACATATTCAATATTCATTGCATAGGGTAGCCAAAAGTTAGCCACATTGTTTGTAGGTACACTGAGAATCTTGTATAGGTCTAGAACCACAAGTTGGCCATTTATAGATTATAGGTTAGGGCTAGAACCACAAGTTGGCCATTTATAGATTATTGGTTAGGGCTAGAACCACAAGTCAGTCGGGTTGTAAAATAGACTATTTAAGGAGGGGCTTTCCCCCCTCATTCCAATTTTTCATCATCTCATCACAACAGATTATCATCTCATCTGATCAGCAACCATACAGAACAGAGCAATCAATCCATACATTAACAAGTGTGATCTTAATCAAGTGCCCCATTGAGATCATTCAGACATTGAGAAGCATAGGAAAAAGAAAGTAACAACCAGTACAATATGTGATCTTAAACAAGAGACAGTGCTCTTAAACCATTGTGCTCTCAACCAAGATTAAGTAGGAAGGGAAAGACACTTTCTATAGTCACATTTGTTTTCTCAATAACATCTCATACATTCTCATTCATTATTAGTACATACGTCAATCATTTTTCAACATACAAAAACATATAAACCAAAAAACACCTCTTACTCAACATTTCCACTCAAATAGTCTGCTGAATCCACGTTGATCTAGGTTTGATAAGAGACTGCTACACATAGTTTTCTCTATCATCAGTTTTTTTGCCACGACAATAAATAAATTGTTGTGTTAACTCTTGTGTAGTACAATAGAGGGGCAGGTCTTCCAAACCAGCCGTAACAGTTAGTAGATTATTACCTACGTGATATATCTCATCTGCTATTTCCCCCTCACAGGACTGCCACCAGTCCCAAAGGATTTCTCACAACGTTTAGCGTAGTGTTAGTGCAATTCCCCCCATCTGCGCTAACACTACACGTACAAGCTGCCAAAAACTGCCCACTACGCTGTGTGACAGTGATTTTTAGTGGTTTTGAGGCGTTTTTTGCCGCTAAAAACGCTGTAGCGTAGCGTAACACAGTGTAGCGGCGCCAGCGGCGCGCTAACACTACACCAAAAAATGGCTAGTGTTAGCGCCGCTACAAATTAGTGTAGCGCAGCGGCCGTAGCGGCACGCTAACACTACACAAAACAAAATTGGTGCCGCTACGCTAATGCTACATGGGCCTGTAGCGTAGTGTAGCGTAGCGGCCCACCGCTGTTGGTACCTATTTTCTTAAAAATGTAACAGGTACCCACGTACAAACAAATGATCTCTATAAGTGACCATGGCTATACCAAGCCTATTTGTATAGGAGAGGTTTTTCTGGAAATTACATGGTGATCTGGTACAAGCCTCACCAGATTACCAAGACAGATTTCAAAGAAATGAAATATCCTTGGAAATAAAGCTGGCCCCTAGGGAAGGTACCTGCCAAAGAGTGCCGGGTGTGGTGTTGAGATCTGATCTCGATCCCTCTTAGACTCTAGTAGCTATTTCCAACAGAACTGGTTTACGTAATCAGTCCATTTGATAATGACATCATTTCTTCTCTACTAGCTCGTTTCACTTATATAGAAGCTCTTTCCTTCGCCGAACTCGTTTCCTTCTCCCCATGATTCCAACAACATCACACTTTAAACCTTACATCTTAAACATTATTCTTAAAGTCATTGGTCTCATTGATGCTGTTCTCTCTTCATTATTCCAAACGTCCCCTATCATATTCTCACATCACAACTCATTTTCTTCTTAAATCATCAGACCTGTCACTCTGGTCCGGTCATCACTCCCTTCCTTACGCAAGAACTCTTCCCTTCTATTCGACTGTCCGCCAATACAAGTTCTTC